TAAACACGTCCTCAAAATGTTCATAACTCATAAAGTTATACATTAACCAGAACGTTTCTTTCCTGCACATGCAGTATTTACTTGCCTGCATGTAACTCCAGATGTGGAACTGTGTAAAAGAACTGCTGACACAAATAAAGTTTGTCAGTTGCTCCCAACAACTGTCCAGCCCTTTTCTTTCAGGGAAGGGTCTTCCAACTCTTGGAGAAAAAACTCCAACTTTCCCTCTCACTGTCTCTGTCCAGGGAGTACACGTGCCCTATGGCATAAACCTTAAAAAGAAAAATTGAGGTTTTAGAACACTGAATCTTATTTATAGGATATATATATATATATATATGTATGTGTGTGTGTGTGTGTGTGTGTGTGTATATATATATACGTATATATATAATCTATATTGGCAGTCCTTCACTTTTTATATGCCCTACTTATACATCACAGCTTAAAAAGTGATTTATTTAATTTTATTTATCATAATTAGTATTTTTTTAATTTGCTACAGGACACACACACACACTCACCAGAGAGACAGAGAGAGAGAGAGAGAGAGAGAAAGCAAACACCAGGAAGAGACTTGAACCAAGGGAGCCCTGAGGGAGTCCAGACCTTCAACCATCACATCACCTGCTGGCCCCTATAAATAACAACTGGAACAATAGATGAATATTCCATCTGTGTCACCATGTCTTTTTTTCACAGGAAAATTTTTTAGTTTATTAATCCTCTCATGAAAAATCCACACAATCACCACAGACAGTCATTGAAGAATCTTTATTCCTGTGATTTTTTGCCAGCACCAACATTGGCCTTTGCAGTCCCTCTGACTTTCTTCATTCTGTTCTTGCGTTCCTTTCACTGTTTTCTTGACATCTTTTTCTTATCATAAAGGCCATGTCTTGCAAGTCTATGTTTGGGTTCATTTTTCTTTGCATAATCCAAAGAATAGTAAATCATGCCAAAGCCAGTTGTCTTGCCACCACCAAAATGGGTTCTGAACCCAAACAAAAAGATGACATCTGGTGTAGTCTTGTACATCTTTGCTAGTTTTTCCCAAATTTCTGTCTTAGGTACTGTTGCCTTCCTAGAGTGAAGGACATCAATGACCATTTGTTTCCTCTGAAGTAGTCGGTTGGTCATGAATTTCCTTGTTTGGATAGTTACTGTGTCTTTCATAATGGCAGTATATCCTCAAGCAGCCAGGGAGGAACAGACGTCTTTTACTTGCTAATAACTGTTTTTCTATTTTTCCTTTTGTCTCTTTTATTTGTTAGTTAGCAAAAACAGGAAGCAGCATTTGGATACACTTGGACAGGCTCTCTGATATATCCCTTACAGGAAAATGGCAACCCTTCCTATCACTTATGTCAAGCCTGCCTTGTGGCTTCCATTACCCTTAGCAAGGAAGAAGTAGTCTCGAGACACCATTACAGCCTCTTCCCCTTGGGCCAGTAGCAGGTTTTCTTTCACCCATTACAGTCCTAAAACTTCATTCAGTAAAGAAACAGTACCACTGCTGTCTCTTCAGACCAGCCCGAGCCGCTTTGTATGAGATGATCCTAATAACAGCTAGTGGGTCCTGTGTTCATTGACCTCTAGACATTTTTCCTTTTACATCTCTTGCAATCTCTGAATACTTTCTTCTTGGTGTTTAACTTATTCCATTTGATCTAGGAAACTTTCATTGCTATGGTGAAATGGAATATGATTCTCAAGTCCAATTCTGCTCGGGCAGGGAGGTCAGCAAGTGCTAATAGCACCCATGAAGGTGTGTGCTGCAGGGAAGGAAAAGGAACTTCACTCAAATCCTTGGACCACTGTGCAGTGGTGAGGACATATTAAACAAGGCAGCCTTCAGGGACCATGCTCTCCATTCTTTAAGGCCCTCTACAAATGCCATTAGGGGGCATCAAGTCTTTTTTGAGGATTGTTTCCAAAGGGAAGTGATTTTTATTTTCCTCTAAATTCTTGTGCTTCTTTTTCTCTCTTTGTTTCAAGCTTTTTGTTTTTGTTTTTGTTTAATCATAGGATGTGTGCATTTGGCAGAGAAAGAGACAGAGAAGGAAAGTGAGAAATTAATCCTGGTACCTCCCAGGGACGGTCATGCCACAATCCCTTCCCCTCCACTCTCCTCCTGGGATTTTGGGAACGCATGCACACATGCTTAGCATGATTTTCAAGCTGCCAGGTCCAGGACTTGAACTGCAATCGGTCATGTGAAAGTTCAGCAACTTAATCACTACACCACCAGCTGGCCCTGTGCTTGCTTTTCTTAAGGCATACATACTTTAACTTGCATAAGGTTTTATTGTTCTTGTTATCTATCTTCTACTTCAAGATAATGAGAATAATAAGAGCTGTCAATTTTTTCTTTTTTATTTTATTTTTTATTTTTATTTCTTCCTTACAGGGTGTATGCACTTGCCAGAAAGACAAAAAGTGAGAAGTCACTCCCCCAGGGGAAATGCCCACAGTGCAATCCCTTCTTCTTCAGTCTCCTCTAAGGATCTTGGGCATGCATGCACATGTACCCAGCATAAGTTTCAAGTTACGGAGTCCAGGACTCAAACCATGGTTGATCATGTGAGAATCCAGTGCCTTAATCACTACTCCATCTGCTGGCTTCAAGCTATCAATTATTAAACACTGTGCATTCACTAGACATGGTTATCATCAAGCATTGCAATGTCAGGCACTTTGATCACATGGTTTCATTTAATTCCTGTGATAATTCTCTAAAGCAGGCACTGCCATCATTATTTTATAGTTGACAAAATGGGAAATCAGTGAAATTGAGAAGATTGTTCAGGATTACTCAGCTAATAAGAGGTACAACCCAAATACAAACCCCGAACTGGCTGACTCTGAGGCCTGTATGGACTCTTCTCACCAACTCATAGAATTTCCTGAGGTCAGGCATTCTCTTATCTGTATTTTCACCTCCTAAAGCACTTGGCACAGAAATTCTCACATGGTAGATGTCCAATAAACATACACTGAATTTAAAAAAAATACACAAAACATCTGTATAACTGCCTGGTAATAAAGTAAATAAGGCTGTTCTTCTCTTTATTACACAAGCACATACGCCCCTCTTTTGGGAACCTCCCCTTTACAAATATACTTAAATCTGATTTTCCCTCTGGAACTAGTGGATGGTGTAATGGTTTAATCACTGGATTCTCACATGGCCAACTGTAGTTCGAGTCCCAGACCTGGAGACTTGAAATTCACTCCAGCCCCAAGAGAAGAATGGAGGAGAAGTAATTGAGGCGTGGCCATAACCCTACCCTCTCACTAGGGGATGATTTCTCACTTTCTTTCTCTGTTTCTGTCTATCTCTCTGGCAAGTACACACAGTCTATAGCAAAAATCTCTTTAAAAAAAAAAATCTGATTTTCCCTCAGCAACGACATTTACTGGGCCTGGGGGTGCAAACACAGGAGCTACAAGAACACAAGATGTGCTGCATTTTATAATGCCTGTGTGATCCTGTGCCTTGTATATTTTCAGTGACATTCCAATCTTTTTTTTTTTCTGAGAGATTTTTGGTATAGGTTGCTTGTGCTCGCCAGAGAGCTAGAGAGAGACAGAGAAACAGAAAGCAAGAAATCCTCCCTGAGGGGGGATGGCCACTTTGCAATCCCTTCTCTTTCATTCTCCTCTCAGGATTTTGGACATGCATTCACATGTGCCTGGTGTCAAGTGCTAAGTCACCAGATAGGTCTGTGACTCGAACTGTGGTTGACTACATGGGAATCCAGCGTCATAACCATTACGCCATCTGCTGGTCTCACGGCACCCCAATCTTAAGGCAAGATATGAAGTTTATTTTTGAACAGCAAGAAATAATTATGCTTGTGTTTTACCTATTAAAAGCCAAGGATGATACACTAATGAAAACCACCTCTTGGGAGGACAGAGTAAGACATTAATAGGTATGAGAAAACAGGTATACGGAAACCACAGTAATCAAATCTTCATTTGATCATGGTTTTAACTTCATTCTTCCTGATAACATCTATAAAATTGTAATATCTGTAAAAGAGCCTGTTACATTTTAGCTCTGCATTGCCTCCATTCTTTTTCCTACTTACTTTTTAAGGACGCATTAAGTAGAGGCCAAAGAGTAGTACGAAAGAAGAAAAAAGAAAAGCATACAGAGATCTGAAAAAGACACATATGAACTCTCCTCTGAAAAGTGGTGAGTTAATAATAAAAAATAAAACAATGAAAAATAAAGAACTGAATTAATAATGAACACTTTGCTGTAACTCTAAATCTAAACATTAAAATACATGTATTAATACTATGTCATATTCTATAACAGTCTTAAAAACTGTCTCTGAGAGGTAGAATAAATGAATTTTAAAAAGTTTTATAATATATTTTAGTTTAGTTTATACATTCAATCACTATACATCACTTAGTTTGTAAAGTGAGAATAAATGGATTTTTAAAAATTACATTATAAATGGGTGCCCAGGCTTGATTTTTGTCTAGTCACTGGGAGGTAAAACTATGTCTCTGCTCTCTCAGGAAAGTTTGGAATGTACAACCAAAGTCAGGTGTCATTCTCTAAGTTTGTTTTTTTGGGGGAGGGGTCCCATAAAATTACTATAAAAACACTGAATTTAACCTCTAATTCATGAAGTAAAAAAGAAACAGGAGAAAATTATAGCTATAACAACAAACTGAATATCTGATAGTAGATTTACTTGAGCTATGGAAAGACTCTGTTTTTATGGTTTACCATGAAAGACTCATTGAACAGAACACAGTTACTCAATAAAAGCTAGAAAATTCTGAATGTATCTAGCTGTGGGACCACCTCCTCCCCTACTCTGACTGGGAAATGAATCTTCTGAGACTTCGTTTCCTCCTCAATAAGATGAAGAGAGTAGAATTTCCTTCAGTTATTCTCTGGTTGTGTTTACAATGCTTTTTCATCATCAAACAAACTAATTTTCAGTTCTGGTTTGTAGAGGCATAAATCTTACCACAGAAACTTGTTTCACTTGTTTATATTCAATTTCATCGCGATATCCTGCTTGTTGAAATCGGTACAGATTCTCTATCTCTTCTGACCATTTTTTGGCACGACTTATTGATTTTGGTTTCACATCAGAACTAGCCATGGCTACAGAGGCCTCACTACCAATTATTTCTGAAAGATGTTAAAACAACATTAATAAATAACATAATAATGACAATTTTGAAGGTCCCTTTAAGAACGACAAAACTAATAAAAATGATACAGTTAAGAATCCAATTAAATGTATATTAAACATTTAACATTCAGTTCAAGAGTGAGAAGCATTCATGCACCATTTTGGAACAACGACGACTCTGAAAGACATACAGATGACTGTTTATTTCTTCATTAAATAAACTTGCATTCGCAGTTATGGAGTGATGCCCTAAAAACTGGATACCGATTCTGGTGTTCCAGAAAATTGTGTGCCCATTTTGAAAACCTGCTTTCTATTTATAATGGCTCAGTAGATTGTCAAATTATCTGACAACCATTTCATTTAATTACATTCAAAACTGTATCTCTCTCTTTCTCCCCCCCCCCTCAAAAAGGGCATGTAAGGTTACTCTTCTGTCTTCCATCTCCTGCCGTTGGGATGTAATGGTTTCTTCCTTTTCCATTTCTTTTTTTTTTTTTTTTTTTTGGCAATTTTGACTTTTAATGCTGTTCG